TCCCATTATCTACAGTGACCTTCCCACGAGCTTCCTATTTTGTCCATGGATGAACAGGGGAAGGTCACAAATCCTCCTCTATAAATATGATGATATTGGATAGAGGAGGGGATCCAATTTTTCTCTCACTAAAGTTCACTCTTGAGATAGAGTAAGAAATATAATTCGGACTGAGGAGATTTACCCGGTCTAGGTCATACTTTGTGTTCTTGTTGTGTGTTTTATATAACGGGTCGAGTGTGTCCAGGTCAAACCCGGTTAACCCACCCAGCTATATTTACACCATCAACAGTAGCCTTTAGACCCCATTTGGTACACAGAATTCAAAATATGGAATTGGAATTGGAGGATTTCAATTCAAAATCTGGTGTTTGGTAGCACAAAAATTATGTGGATTTGGAATTGATAGTGCAAAAAATGAACTGAAATTGGCAGAATTCAATTCTATGGAATTGAATCCCATGGAATTTCAATTCCAATTCAATTCCAATTCCATCAATTTCGTATACCAAACGGACCCTTAATGTTTTCAGAAATAATCTATACCATTAAAATCTTATTCAAAATGTTAATGCTAACAAAAAATAATTTTTCCAAACAACGCCTAAATGTGATATGTTAGGGGAGATTGCACTTTTTTCATTAGAGAATGGAAGCTGTAAAACGTCTACGCTCATTGCTACTTCCGTCTTTGAATTATTAGGGTCCGTTTGGTATATGGAATTGAGAGAATTAGAATTGAATTGGAATTCAAATTCCATGGGATTCAATTCCATAGAATTGAATTCACCAATTCCAATTCATTTTTTGCACTATCAATTCCAAATCCACATAGTTTGAATTCCGTGTACCAAACGGGGCCTTAGTAACTTTTTCGGGTCAAAATGTAATGAACGTGAACAATAATATGAAGTCAAATTGGTAGTCGGTAAATTATAATTTAGATAAAATATTTAGATTTTTTCCGCATATAGTTTTTGAAGGATAAATAGAATAGTCCTATAGGTCAGTAGATTTTTTCCGCATATAGTTTTTGAAGGATTAAAAAATTGAGGACTATTTATTTATGAAGAAATCACCCTACGTAGCACTCTAACTTATCTAATGCTACGCATTTAGCACTGCTTATTGTTTTTTACCAAATTAGCTATTTATGTTGTCAATCTCTTCCAATCATACCCTTTATGTCATCAATCCCTTTTATCCATCCCACTATCAATTATTTCAATTCCTCTTTCAACTCCTATATCAAATTCGGACTCACATAATGTTTACTTTGTGCATAGTGGCATAATACTCTTTTTTATCAAATTCTTTCGTCAATCAATTAAATGTAGTTTTGAATAAATATATATAATAAAAATACGATATATCAAAATTATATCATAAAAATATGCCAATTATAAATACTTC